GAGGGAGAGAGAGAGAGGGAGACAGATGGTGGAGTAGACATGGGGGAGGAGAGGAGGAAGAGGGGTGGGGAAGGAGAGTGTGTGTGTGTCGTCATTTCGAATGAGTGTGTGTGTGTGTGTGTGTGTGTGTGTGAGAGAGAGAGAGAGGGAGAGATGGTGGAGGAGAGATGGTGGAGGAGACATGGGGGAGGAGAGATGGAGGAAGAGAGGTTGGGGAGGAGAGTGTGTGTGTGTGTCGTCATTTTGAGTGAGTGTGTGTGTGTGTCTCGTCATTTCGTGTGTGTGTTTGTGAGAGAGAGAGAGAGGGAGGGATGGCGGAGGAAAGACGGAGGAAGAGAGATGGGGGAGGAGGGGTGTGTGTGTGTATGAGAGAGAGAGAGAGAGAGAGAGAGAGAGAGAGAGAGAGAGAGAGAGAGAGAGAGAGATTTCCATCGATAGGATGATGAACACACCGGGCAACAGGTAAGTCCTCAACCCCGCGCCTGGCATCACGCTATAAATGAGCAAAATCGGATGAATCTACGACTATAACATGGAATTTGTCTGGTTTTGTGTGTGTTTGTGTGTGTGTGTATGTGTGTGTGTGTGTGTGTGAGAGAGGGAGAGAGTTTTCCATTGATAGGATGAGGAACGCACCAGCTGAGGAACACACCAGCCAACAGGTGAGCCCCGCGCGGCTAGCCTCACACTACTTCCATTGATAGGACGAGCAAAATTGGACGAATCTACAACTATAACATGGAAATTTACACCGCCAAACTTGTTTGTTTGGTTTCGTGTGTGTGTGTGTGTGTGAGAGAGAGAGAGAGAGGGAGAGAGAGGTAGGTGGTGGGTGTCCACCTTCATGGCTGCCCGTCGGTCTTCGACTACTGCTTCCCGCCGCTGCTTCGAGCCGATGGTGTCGTGCGGCTGTTGTACGCCGATGATGTTCCGCCGTGTCCCTCCCTCCCCCCTTAAGTCGGTCTCCCGCTTCTCCCACCTTCGTCGCCCTCGCCCCGCTGCTCCCCGCCGTCGTTGCTCACTTCTTGGTGTCCCTCGTAGCGTCTTTCCCTCCCTCCTTCATGGATTCGAACGGCGAGGGGAGCGTGACTCCGGAAAATTTCGAATTCTGCAGGCCCTTCCCCCCAAAAACAATTCGGAGGGGGGGTGCGACCGGTTTCCCGAGTCGCGCGCCCCGACAGTCATTTTTGCTGGGGTGGGGGCTCGCCCTCTGAACGAAAACCCTAAGAAAAAGAAAAAAAATTCCTCTACCCCTATTTTTTTGTTGTGCGGGGCGCCACGCTCCGCACAACGCTACGTGCACGAACCGGCGTGTCGTGGTGCGCCGCAACTATGGTTCTCTCTCTTCTTAGTGATATGGCTTAAGCTGAACCATTCAGCTTAGAAACAATGATCATACAAATATAGATAAAGTATTTCCAGTTATCCTCATTTGTGCTTAGTGAGTGGCTTCAGGGTGAACCGTTCAGCTTAGAAACAATGCTTAGCCGTTAGCGAAAAATCTCCCTCAAATGACTCCTCACTGAAGAGAGGACACTCAAGGTTGGACTCACTTCCTCACGGTAAGAAGAGATTGAGAGGGAAGATAAGGTAAGGGAACAACGTACCTGGAGATAGCTGCCCCCAACCACAAATTGCTCACCAATTGAGCCAATGTGCGTTTTGATGACCGTTCGTATCTTCGGTACCACCCATACGCAATGCAGTGTCACCTCAGCCAAAATGCCACATCAGCATGCTCTCATCATCACACATACATCGCTGTCGCCACAACTCCCACGTTGTTGCCATAGCCTTCCTGCGACTCACCCCTCTACCCAGGTGTCGCGAAGTCAAGCCAACGCCGTTGTATCCTTACTGCACAGAAGCATCGTCAGTGCACCAAGTAACAATGTCGCCAGCGGCAGGTAAGGCGATCTCGAACCAGCTCCGATACCAAATTGCAAGGAATATGAGCAAGAGCGATATATAGAAACCAAGTTGCAAAATATCATGTAACAAGCAGAGAGCTCAAGTGCACTAAGATTCAATTCAAATAAGAGCGATACAATGAACTTGTGAGCCAATGTCCAAGCCCTCAGGCCACACCAACGTAGTATTCAATGTCGCTCCTACCTATGTTGTTGCAACAGGCTCACTTCGACTTCGAAGACCAATGTACATGACGTCAACACCAATGTCGATCTCGCACATACACCAGGTATGACTCTCGTTTTCCCACATCACACTTGTCCACCCTTCCTGCGCCGCCTCCTGAAGACCTTTGTCGCCTCCACCTGCCCTCGCCCTTGCAACCCGGTTGTGGCCATTTGGCGCCCCGTTGTCCTGCAGCGCCCCTCACCTCTCAGTGCCCACTCGCGCCCCAGCAAACGCACATGCAGAAACTCACGCTATCTAGCAACAAGGTGTCCACATTGCCCGCCTAGGCCAGAATGCCCTTGACTGACTGGCCTTCTCCCTATATGGGAGATGTTGCTGCTGCTGGACAGTCAGGGTCTGGCCTTGGAAGTTTCCAGTAGCTTCTGGTCGGCCCCCAGTGTCTGCGTCCAGGCACATGTGTACAGTTGAGGGTCTGGGCCCTTTTCGGTTGGGCACAACCAGGATTTTCCAGGCTCCAAATTTTAGCTATGTTTTCATGGCCTGCGGGGTAGATGTGACGACAATGCTGCATTGTCATTGGCCCGTGGCCACTTCGTGGTGTGTCGGCCTCACACTGCGTGTGCCTAGGGCGCAACCACTTGCATCCTGGGCTCAATTGCCTGGCGCAACTGCTTCTTCTGGAAGAGCCTAGGGTGAGGCCTAGGTTGCACTTCAACCAACTGATGTGCAACAACTCTATGAGATCCACATTGGAAAAATAATGAGATAAGGGCCTCTCGTGGATATTCAAGCGGCAATGACCAACGAGTTTCGTGCGATGTTGGACGGGTTCGTGCTGGTCTACTTAAACGATATCCTCGCATATAGCCGTACATTGGAGGATCATCTTCAGCACCTTCGACGAGTGTTGGAGACGCTCCGCCGCGCCAAGTACAAAGCCAACCGTGATAAGTGCGGATTTGTCCGGTAAGAGCTGTAATACTTGGGCCATTTTGTCACACCGGAGGGCATCAGTCCGTTGTGGGACAAGATTCAAGCCATCCAAGAGTGGTCAGAGCCACGGAACGTCACGGACGTCCGTTTGTTTCTTGGCCTTTCCGGCTACTACCAACGTTTCATCAAGGGATACTCAAAGATCTCGGCTCACTTAACCAAGCTTCAATGTGAGGATCAACTGTTCGACTTCGGGGAGGATGCGCGAGAATCATTTTTGGCCCTAAGCTGCATTATTATCTGCGGAGGTCTTGCGCATATACGACCCGCCATTGCCAACGCGCGTCACTACGGACACGTCCGGTCATGGCATTGGTGCCGTCCTCAAAGAACATGATGGCATGGACTGGCACCCGGTCAAATACTTCAGCAAGAAAGTGCCCGTCATGCACTCCATTGATGATGCACGCAAGAAGGAGCTCCTAGCCTTCATCCACGCGCTCAAGTGGTGGCGGCACTTCCTCCTTGGTCAAAGTCAATTCCCGATGGGTAACGGACAACAATTTGTTGGTCTTCTACAAGACCCCAGACACTGTCAACAGCTCCGGATGTTCTTGCACGCCATGAACGCAAGATGCAAGGCAAGCCGGTATCTTCGGCTCCACGTTGCACCCGCGTCCAGGTCCAGCGAGAGAAGGTTAACAACAGTCGTATTTTTCATCACCACTTCAGCACACCCTTCACCACTTGAGGATGCAGCCTGCCTAAAGAGGTGGTTTTCAGGGTCTTCGGACCTTTCACCACTTCAGGACCATTCAGGTATGAAAATCCTGAATGGTCCTGAAGTGGTGAAAGCTCCGAAGACCCTGAAAACCACCTGTTTAGGCAGGCTGCATCCTCAAGTGGTGAAGGGTGGTTTTCATCGTCTTCAGACCTTTCACCACTTCAGGACCATTTAGGATTTTCAGCCTGCCCAAAACTCTCACTTGACCACTTCAGGACACCCTTCACCACCAGAACTCGCAAACTCCTGCTTCTTCTATAGCCGCACCCAACCCATATTGAACATCCATAATATTTGGCAGCCGCAGCTGGGCTCAATAGCTGGGACTCCGCGCGTGACCTGCACAAGATAGCAACAACGCGACAATCAGTGTGTGGCGGCCTTCCTGCAGGTGAGGCAGTAGGGGGGACGGTCTCTTCGTCTCCCCTCCATCTCATCTCTCTCTCCTTCTTCTTCTTCTTCTTCTTCTTCTTCTTCCTCCTCCTCCTTCCTCTTCTTCTTCTTCCTCCTCCTCCTCTTCCTCCTCTTCTTCTTCTTCTTCTTCTTCCTCCTCCTCCTCCTCCTCTTCCTCCTCCTCCTCCTCTTCCTGTTGTTGTTGTTGTTGTTGTTGTTGTTGTTGTTGTTGTTGTTGTCGAGGCAGGGGTTGCTTCCTCTTCTTCCTCTTCTTCCTTTGTTGTTGTTGTTGTTGTTGTTTTTGTTGTTGAGGCAGGGGTTACAGTGGGCATTGCACCCAGGTTCGACATTTCTGAGACAGACATTGATTGGGCATCGGCGAAGGACTACTTTTGGACATCTCGGTCTACCCCCTCACCTCCACACGGAGGGGAGACGAAGAGACCGTCGCCCCTACTGCGCTATATTGTGCTACTTCGTATGTATCAAGGTGTACATTACTTGTTGATGATTCACTAGCATTTCATTGTTCCTTCAGTCCTTTTCATCGCACTGCGGATCCTCGGCTGTACATGCATTGCCCGACTGGGCATGTATCATTATGTAGGTTATGAAAGGACTTATGGGACTTATCTGTTAGGGGCATGTTAATGTTTGTGTTTGTTGGCATGGGGCGGATGTTGTCCCAGAGGCAGGATTGGGGCCAGCCGGCACCATTGATGAAGGACATGATAATATTGGCAGCATGTGAAGCCAATGAGTCACTTCCGCAGCACCGTGATTTGCCCGCTGATGTTTTCACTTCATGCCTCACAACACCCATCAGGACTGCACTACGATGGTAAGTTCGCTATCTGTCGTTCAAGTTTCTCCGGAAGATATTTCTTTCTGTTTTCCTTCTGCAATCACTTTTGTACGATCAAATTCAGATTCCTTATCCCATGATTTTTTTTTTAATTTTTTTTTTTTTTTTTTTGTGTGTGTGTGTGTGTGTGTCTGAGAGAGAGAGAGAGAGAGAGAGAGAGAGAGAGAGAGAGAGAGAGAGAGAGAGAGAGGTAGAGAGAGAGAGAGAGACGTTGCTTGAAGAACCATGTTGTGTGTTTGTTTTTGTGCGTGTTGTGGTGTTTGCTATACACAACATCCACAAAGACTTGAAGAGCAGACGCTTCGCGTCTCAATCCCTCACGTTGGAACCGAAGTAGGCATTACAGCCACTTCGCAGATGATTTTGTAGTAGCAATCTCTGTCCACTTTCAGAAGCAGTGAAACTGATATCTGAATTGGAATCGTTCCTTTTAGACAAACTCCAATTAACACTGCGTATGGACAAAACCCATATTACCCATGTGTCAAAAGGAGTACCTTTCCTTGGCCACAACATCTTTCGAAGTATGTGGTGGCAACCTTCTGGCTCGAATAGCAGACACCTGCGCAGCATCGCGTTCGGGCTCTGTGGTGACTGAACCCGAACGCTCGGTACTGAGCCCGAACGTGGCCCAAAATCGACTGAGCCGGAACATTTTTTTTTTTTAATAGTATATATATCGTCACAAACAGAACTGCGCGGTAAACCGTAGGCAGAGAGAGAGAAGAGGACAACAAACGAGGGGCTGTGGCATATATATATATGTATAAGGGGCATTGCCCATCACTCCTGCACACACACACACACACACACGCCCCACACGCTTGTGCACACACACACGCCACACATGCCCCACACGCTTGCACACACACACACACACGCATACACAGATCTGCTGATGCAGCTGATGCAGCACCTACAGCACCTGCTGCAGTAGTAACTGATGCAGCGGATGTAGCTGCTGCATTTGCTGCACACACATAATCTCTCTCTCTCTCACACACACACACACACACAAAATTGGATGCGGTGCTTCCATAGCCCACACCCGAACCGGTCCTGTCCGGTCTGCAGGGGTGGCCACTCGCCATAGGGTTTTTTTTTTTTTTTTTCGGTAGAGTAGTCTGTGCAATGCACCCAGTCTGATAGGTACTCAGAAGTCGTCAATCCACTGTAGTTTCAATATCTGCATGAAAGTCTCCAGATCATGAAGTGATATCTCAAACAGTAACTCAATATTGTAGTTTCAATATCTGCATGAAAGTCTCCAGATCATGAAGTGATATCTCAAACAGTAACTCAATATCAAAAAGAGAAGAGGGTGGAGGGAGAATAGACAAAGGAGACGAAGAGAGATCACACAGTAATAACCCTTCAGATCCCTCTCCTTCTTCGGGCTTCTTTCCACATCACTTCATCAAATATTATTGATCACACACAATAGTGCCACCTGGCACTTTATCTCATGAAGACCCTGAAGTCTCAGCAGATTTCCAGTGACGACGTCAACCACAGGTGAGTACCCGATTCCCTACATCCACAGATCCCGATCTTCCAGTCACCTCATGTAGACAGCGTGGACAATGCCACGTCAGCAATCAAGATAGGTGGCATATGCCACATCATCAATGAAGACCAATAGCAGCGCCACGTAGACCAGGAGGAGCGCCATGTAAACCAGAGGCAGCACCACGTCAGCATGCCACGTAGACCAGAGGCAGTGCCACGTCAGCATGCCATGTAGACCAGAGGCAGCGCCACTTCAGCATGCCTCGTAGACCAGAGGCAGCGCCACATATGCCAGAGGCAGTGCCACATCAGCATGCCATGTAGACTAAAGGCAGCGTCACATATACCAGAGGCATCGCCACGTCAGCATGCCATAGTGCATGGAAGAAGCACCAGCATGCCGCCTCCACCTTGTGCCGTCGTCCGCAACGCGTGTGCACAGCCAGCATGAAGCCAGCGTTGTCAAAGTCGAGCCAGCGTCGAAGCACCATGGCCAGACTGAATGCTTGACTCACTCGAGGCCAGCCTTAAGTAACAGTCAGCGAGGCTGTCTGGCGTCGGTCTATTTCCCCTTAGTCGTCCAGATTGACTCACAGCTGAAGGCCCGGATTGTGCAATTGCAGACTTCTCCCTTGGACCTGATGCTGTCTAGGTACGTGCGTACAAACAAATGTGTGTGCTTGACCTGCGGCCTGGGCTAGGTACCTTTGGACTTTGACGGTTGGGTGGACCCACAATTGACCAAAGTCAATTGTCACACGCCTAGGCCATGATTTCGTGAAGGGCCGTTTTTGCCCTTGTTTGACCTGGGCTGAGGGCGGCCAAGTAGGCCTTCTGCAGCCCTTAGTTCCGCGAGACATATGGCATGGGTTATTTCATTCCTGCCGTCCCAATTTACGAGTTCCATCACAGAAATTACGTCAATTTCCAGTTAGCCCACGTTCATATGCAACAACAATATCAGGAGCAGTGGATAGAAGTTCTTTCCTACTAAACCATCTAGCTTCAGATGGGGGTTGGGACTTGAACCTTACCTTGTACTGCTTCTGAGGTCATCCTCTGCCACATGTAGAGAAATAGCCATGCTCCAATATTTTCTCCACTTCATAACCTTCATTCATAGAGGGTGGAATCATAGATGGCCTATTTGGAAAATCATCACTTTCTACATAAGATAGCAGTTTAGACGCATGGAAGACAGGGTATGTCTTGAGGTGTGGAGGTATATCTATACGATAGGAAGGCCCATCTTCATCTCCAATTACTTTGAGAACTTCCCAGGGCCCATAGTAGACTGGTAGCAGTTTTTGAGACACGTTTTCTTCCAAGGAGAACTCTTTAGACTTAACCCAGACAAAGTTCCCTTCCTGAAATTGTGAAGGACGACGATGTTTATTTACTTGTTCAATCATTTGTAACTGGGCTTTCTATATGTTTTCCTTCACCTTCTTAATGTCTTCTTCGTACATAACTGCAAATTCACGCGTACCTGAGGGTAGCCTCTGAATCTGATCCGTTGGTAAAGCATCAATGGGACGTCTAGGCTTCCAACCTTTATGCAGTGCGTTAGGCGTCCTACCTGTGTTAGTATGTATACTATTATTATATGCACTACCAATTTTAGGCAAGTTCTCATCCCAATCAATCTGGTCAGGACGGACGGACATTCGCAAAAGTTGTTGACATAGACGGTTCATTTCCTCAGTTTGGCCATTCGTTTCAGGATGTCTGCCCAACGACATGGTCAACCTAGTTTCGTAGACTTCGATCAACTTTTGTCATTGTAGACAGGTGAACCGAACATCTCTATCTGACACGATGGTTTTAGGAAATCCATACTCGGAGACCCATCGCATTTGAAACTTTTGTATGACTAGCTCGGTTCTTGCTTCAGTAGGCAAAGGAATGAACATTGCATACTTAGAGAATCTATCGACGATTACCATTACCTGACTATTGTCGTTTGGACTCTTAGTGAGGCTGATAAAATCAATTGAGATAGACTCACCAAGCTCACTTGGAATAGGCAGTGGTCGTAATAGTCCCATCGGATTCTCATGTGATGGTTTGTTCCTCTGACAGACAAGACAAGTTTGCACATACGTTAATACATCTTCCTTCACTCCTTTCCGTTCAAAACCTTCTCGCACATCAACATACGTCTTCTTAAAACCAAAGTGACCTTCTGCATCATGACATTCCCCAATGATCAAACTCTTAATTGATTCTAGGTGAGGAACATATAATCGTTCTTCAATTTTATCCAACAAGAAGAGTAAGCCATCAGTCATTCGATATTATGGAAACAACTCGGGGTTCTTTCTTAGAGTTCCAATGATAGGACTCCAAATAGGATCACTCCCGTAACCCTAGCGGATCTGTTCTTTCAATTCATTTCGAATATCGAGATAAGAGACAATAGTTCCAAAGAAATCTGCACGCTTGGACAAAGCATCCACAACCACATTATACTTACCTTTGATGGTTTTCTACTCAAAGTCAAATGTGTCAAGGAATGCGGTTGTTGGAGAGTTTGGGCTGAGTCTTGATCCAGAGTAGACAGTGAAATGTCTCCCTAACAAGTAGTGTTTCCAAGTATCTAGTGCAAATACTAAGGCATATAGTTCGCTTTCATATGTACAGTTGGCTACCTTGTCTGACGGAAGTCTTCGCGACATAAACTCAACAGGTCTATATCCCTTACCGTCATCCTGCTGTAGCACAACCCCAATCCCATACTAACTTGTGTCAGTCGTGACTATGAAAGGAAGAAAAGGGTCGGCAATCTTTAAGACAGGGTAGTGAGTCAGAGTATGTTTCAACTTCCTAAACGATAACTCACAATCTTTGTCCCAGAACCAAGGCTTTTCTTTTTTCAATAATCTTCTCGTAGGAACATCTATCAGGGAGAAGTTTCTGACGAACTTTCTATAGCAGCTAGCAAGTCCTAGGAGAAATCTTAGTTGAATTATAGTCGTGGGTTGTGGCCAATTTCTGATTGTTGTGATCTTCTTTTCTTCAGGCCTTAGTCCTTCCTCGTTTACTATATGCCCTAAGTACAAGACCTCAGGCGTAGCAAACTCTGACTTTTTCGAATTCAGTTTAAAGTTGTCCTCACGCAACTTTTGCAAAACCATTCGTAGGTGTTTCTCATGAATTTCTAGTGTTTTGCTGTACATTAGAATGTCATCGAGATAGATTATTACGAATTGGTTAAACCATTGACGAAATAACTCATTCATTGACCTTTGGAAAGTCGCAGGTGCATTAGTCAAACCGAAAGGTATAACCATGAACGCGTAGTGATCATACCTGGTTCGGAAAGTCGTCTTCTGTTGATCCTTAGGTGCCACTTCAATCTAGTGATACCCTGATTTGAGATAAAATTCATGATCTTCTTAATAGAATCAAAACGTATTTCAGTAAAAACCTGTATAAAAAATCGTCGTTCTATCTTACTGAAATAC